ACTGAGTTGAAACCACTCCCCCCACTGTGGCCAGTCACTGTGAAGAGCAGTGAAGTAGAGATTCTTTTCACTACACAGTCGCTAAACAGACAAGCACATGCACAAACTACACACGTTCCACTATATCCTCTACAATACCCACATGTTTTTTTCTCGTCTAGTGGAACGGCTACTCAGGATGCAGCTGTCCACCTTCAGCGCACTCTGTGATTGTAGCAGTGTCCATCCCATTCATTGAAGAATGAATCCCGGCCTACGACAAACACACTAGCGTCTCTGAATGGGAGATTCAAAAGAAAAATGCCTTAGTGACATCATAAACTCTATCCACGTGTTTTCCTCCTTAGTTCCTTTAAAATGCTAAATCTAGATTTAAAGCAAAATCTCCTGAAATCCACTCTTTATTCCATTTTCTTGAGACTTTTTCCAATTTCATTTTTTTCACGAATTAGATTTATTTCACAAGTTGATAATGTTATACAACAATCCAAAATTCCCAGCTCTTCCTTTGGTTTTCAGGGTTTATAAAGTCTGTTATTGCTACAAACTAAAGTTGCCACATAGTGATCTCTGAAAACAAAATAGTCATGGCTTTTTTATTTGCTTCAGGGTAGATTTATGCAATTTCAGATTGAATGTACTTGGCAGATCTCTGTCTGAGTCAAATGTTAAGGGGAAGTTGCTCATTTCTTAGTTCTTGGCTTAAAATGAAACACAGATGAACTATTTCACATTGTGTGTGTGAATTTTTGTGAGTACGGTTCATAATAGTCTGAACTAATACAGATTTTTTTGTTAAAGATTGAATGTTTCATGACTTAGTTAAGGCAGCGTTGTCATTTCTCATGTTGTTAGCGATGTCAAGTATTTTCAGACATTCTTTGTGGACAACATGCCTGAAATGATTGTGTAAATAAGTAAGTTATTTTTCTGTGGCCTCAAGCAAATAGTTTTTTAGTCGAAAATGATTTTGAACAATGATACAGCCATATACAGCTTTCACCTGTTATAATGAGTGTCCTGCAAGACACAAATGGAAAGTTTGGGGTCTTTTCCCCTAATTGTAGCATGATCCCAACCTGACACAGTTTTTGCGGCAGCTAATGTCTGTGTGAGGGGCTCTCAGAGTGCAGGTGTGTTGTGCAGGAAGAGCAGTGACAAAGGAGGATGTTTTGTCCTGTACTGCAGAAATGTGCCTCCATCACAGACACACTCCTATGGATTCAGTAGCTTCACTCTTTTCTCCCCCTATCAGTGAAGTCTTTGAGAAAGACCTCTGTCCACCTGTAGTCTGCAAAGTAGACATGGTAAGCTTTAGATTGTTCTGATATTGAGCTTGGCATTATCACATTTTGTATTTCATTTTCTGACAGGAAAGCCTTAGATTCGCCCTCTGCAGTTGGATTGAAATACCGAAACAGAATTGTAGGAAGTAGGCTGATGTAATAGTTACTGTATAAGGGAAATGCAACGTATTTAGGGCACATTACCAAATAGGAAGGACTTGTCGTCATTCCAAAAACATTTTTTCAGGTGTTCCAGCTGAATCACTCAAGTGGTAGATTTAATGGAAGCAGTTCTTGTAATTCAGTTTATTTCATGGTGACTTTACTGTGATTTATTCACAGTCGAGTCATCTCAGTGTGCGGTGACTTGTTTTTGATTTTTCATTTCTAAATCCTGTGATCTACTAGACTGTTGTTTCTGTGCATGGGGAATTTTTTCTTCATCTATTTATTTTAACTAATTGAAGCGAAGTTTCCAGAGGCCTAATGCTGTACTCTTAGCAGTAGAATACTAACCGTCTACTGTATATGCTCTTTTTGTGTCAGCCTTTTTGTTTAGCTCTCTTTTGTGTTGGACTGTTTTTCCTCTTTTCTTTCCTAATATACCTACTTATTCCCTTTAAAGTGCACAATGTGGGTTAACCTGACCCTGTTTCTGAACCCTCGACCAGTCCCCGATTAATTGACATAAAGTGAAACCTGTGTGACAAAAGACTAAAAGCCTTAAAGCTTGTTTCCTGGCATTCAACTTAGAATACCGCAGATTGTCCCCTTCAGTTTAGCAACTGACCCCTGCTGGATACAGAGCAGACCTGTGGCGAGAGCTGAGAGCATCACTCGCCAAACCAAAAAGAAACGCAACCTCAAAGACATTCACATGCTATGATTTAGTCAGACAGAGCTGACAAATACTCCACGAACAATGTGGGCTGCCGGAACGAAACCAGACACATACGATTGCATTGTAGCTCACTTTTGTGTAACTCGGAGTTCAGCAGTGAGCTAGGAGTTATTCTACTGTAACAAACTGTAGTAACGTGTAATTGTGGTTTAATGTTCCACATATAAATGTTTACTCATGCTAAAAAAAGTTGATATTTAAATTGCCATTCATGGTACATTCAGTGTCTCATTAGTGGTGTTTCAGGGTTTGTTTTACGTGTGCCTCAAAGCCAAATCCCTCCTAACCACCTTCAGGCCACTTTCAGTGTTGAATCATGTCTTTAAATTTATGCCTGTGAAAATGAGGTTCTTCTGGGTTAAAGTGGATACATCATGATTCCTTTAGCACACATTAATTATTGTCAATAGGATGTAAATGTGCCAGATTTAGGTAAAAGGCAATCCCTGGGCGGCTTGGTGTTATGCATGTTAATCTTTGTTATGGTTAGAATTGTTTTAAAGTTTATCAGAGAAAAGACCTGTGACTCACATCATGTGAGACACAAGTTTCCATTACCTTAAACCTTAATATGCTAGAACTACAAGAGAGAAAAGTTTCTTGAGAACCCAGACACAGTGAATGCTGGGAAGTATGCCTACGTCATTCACATAACTCATACAGTCTCCTCCAAATATATTGGAATGGTAAGGCAAATTCCTTTGTTTTTGTTGTTCACTAAAGACATTTGGCTTTAAGATCAAAAGATGAGTATGAGACAAGAGTTCAGAATTTCAGCTTTTATTTCCTGGTATTCACATCTAGATGTGTTAAACAAATTAGGACATATCACTGTTTGTATTAGACCACAGCATTCTTAGGTGAGCAAAAGTAAAGGAACAAATCATTTTAAAGTAAATAACATTTAATATTTGGTGGCATAACCCTTGCTTGCAATAACTGCCTCAAGCCTGCGACCCATCGACATCACCAAACTATTGCATTCTTCATTTGTGATGCTATTCCAGGCTTTTACCACAGCTTCTTTCAGTTCTTGTTTGTTTCGGGGTGTTTCTCCCTTCAGTCTCCTCTTAAGGAGGTGAAATGCATGCTCTATTGGTTAAGGATAAACTTCCTCCCGATTAGTTTCAATGCATTTCTCCGTACATTAGCAGATAAAATGTTTCTGTACTACCATCATCAGTTACATCATCCGTAAATATTAATGAGCCTGTCCCAGAAGCAGCCACGCACGCCCAAGCCATGACGTTACCTCCACCATGCTTCACAGATGAGCTTGTGTGCTTCGGATCATAAGCAGTTCCTTTCTTTCTCCACACTTTGGCCTTTCCATCACTTTGCTAGAGATTAATCTTGGTCTCATCAGTCCATAAGATTGTGTTACAGAACTTTAGCGGCTCATCTCTGTACTTTGCAAATTTCAATCTTGCCTTCCGATTCTTCCTGCTGATGAGTGGTTTGCATCTTGTGGTGTGGCCTCTATATTTCTGCTCTCTGAGTCTTCTTCCAACAGTGGATTGTGATACCTTCACCCCTGCACTGTGGAGGTCGTTGGTGATGTCACTTACTGATGTTTTGGGGGTTTTCTTGACAGCTCTCATGATATTTCTGTCATCAACTACTGTTGTTTTCCTTGGCTGACCTGTTGGACGTCTGTTGCTCAGTACACCAGTACTTTCTTTCTTTTTCAGGACATTCCAAATTGTTGTGCTTGCTTTGCCCAATGTTTATCCAATGGCTCTGGTCGATTTTCCTTCTTTTCTCAGCTTGACACTGGCTTGCTTTCCTCCTATAGACAGTTCTCTGGTCTTCATGTTGGTTTATCCTCTTTAACAGGAAATGTCTTTATGGGTTTGTACCAAGGATGAAAACTTAGACTAGTCATGCAGAGCTATTTAATGTTTGGACAATCAACCTAAAAGGCAACACCTGGGAAACAAGTAACATTTGTCAGTCACACGTTCTAATAGTTTTGCTCACTTGAAAAATGGGTGGGTTCAAACAAAGGGTGGTTTGTCCTTTGTTGTTTAACACATCTAGATGTGAATACCATGAAATGAGAGTTGAAACTCATACTCATCTTTTGATCTTAAAGCCAAATGTCTTCAGTGACAACAAAAACAAAGGAATTTGCCTTACCGTTCCAATACTTTTGGAGGGGACTGTATATTTCATCATTGAAGATTTCTTAAAAATGGTCTTAAAATATTGTCTCGCCTGTTTTAACTTTGCACAAAGACTAACTAAAAACATCTGTGTGGGTTTAACTGAGTCTGATGTTGTACCTTGAACTTTTAAGTTGACATGACTTGAAACTAATTACAAACTCCAGTGAGCTAATTTCAGAAGATTTCAGATGCGTCTTGGCAGGGAACAGCGACTACTTGGAGTCTCCCGGCCAAGAAATAGCCCCGTACAAAATTCCCCATTAAAACAGTGAATGACTGTTTTTACATTTTGTTTTTTGGAAAGATTTAAGCAAACGAGATACAATGTGGTATTTAGTAAGCTTTAGAGGTGCTACTAGGTGGATTTTATGTTTGGACAGAGGCAGGCTAGCTGTTTCCCTCTGTTGTCACTCTTTGTGCTGAGCTAAGTTAACCAACAGCTGCCGTTGATCTTCTCATCTTACTAAAGAGTATTTCCGAAAACTATTCCTTTAACATTTCTGGAAACTCACTAGATCTGAAAGCTAATCATGAGTTAATTTTAAAAAGCACATTGAGTAGTTGTCTGTTCTTCTTGTCCTGGTGTAGCCCACTTCTTAAAACAGTTCATTTGTGCGGTGTTTAACAATCCCTTTCCCTTCCCAGATCTGTCGTCTACAGAGGCACCTGTCTGCCGGGGAACACCAACAGGACCTGTTCCAAAGCCAACCAGCCATGTTTGTGTCCCAGCACTCCCAGCCGCCCACTCAGAGTCTGGTAGAATTGATCCAGCTCTGTGGAGGAACAGTTTGCAAAACTGTGCGGCAGGCTGGTATCTGCATAGGGAAGTACCGCGGCAGGAGACCAGAGGGAAGCAGGATCCTGTCTGAGCAGTGGGTGCTGGGTAAGATATTCCCTGCTAATCAATGTGTTAAACGCTATACTCATTTATCATGTCACTAATGACTGCGTCTCTCATTTCTTCTGATTTTATTTCAGATAGTATCACATATTTGAAGCAGCTGTCATATGATAACTACGACTTGGAGTGAAAGCTGTTGAAAATATATATATATTTTGGCTGTGAAGTTTCAGTAATTTTATGCTGGGCTGTGCCTGGTCACATAACTTCAGTTTCTACCTTACAGTGTTCCAGTGCAGGTTTATCATCTTGCTTTGGAAACGTGTCAGAGGCTTTACGTAAATCCTCTCAAATATTCAGTTTTCGAAGACTTCAAGTCCCTGGTTGCCATGGAAACCTTCTGAAGACTATCAACCATATCAACTGTCTAAGTTACTGTGAAACATGGACAACTGCTTTGACGTAGTGTATGTTGATCCTTTATTACTTATATTTCTTTGTAGTAATCACTACTGTGTAACTGTGTGTTTTTCAGAAGACATGAGATCAACCCAGTTTTTTCTTGTGATTTTAAAAAATACTTACTGAGCCAGTTGAGCACTCTAATGCAGATTAACATATTGTGTCCTTTATAGAAATGTTTTCTGACATCATTGTTAATAAATACTTTTAACACTTTTGGCCTTTGCTTTTCTTATTTTTTGTCAAATAAAGAATTGTTTAAGAATCAAGCTCCCTTCAACCATTAAACCAAAATGTATGTCACTTTTTTTTTGTTATTTTCAGTTTTTCAGGTTGTATTTGTTATGGAAATCAAAGTGAGCCAGGTGTTGAAGAAGGTCTTGGAGACTCTCACACTGACTTACACAGCATTGATTCACTAAGGCTCCACATAAGGTTATTGTTCACCCCTCTATATGTGTGTAAATATTCTGTTGGATATTGGTTCAAAAGAAGACTATGCCTTCCTAAAGTTAACTTAAGTTATGTTGTGTGTCATTCAAGCCACATGCAACACTCTCTACATAGAACCAGTCTGTCTGTAGTGAAACAAAATAAAGATAATCTCAACTTTTGGTTACTTAACAAATGCCTCACAGAGTGAAAATCCTTATCGAGGCAGCTGTGTCAGTCAGTCAGTCAACCAAGCAGGCAGAGAGGAGAGACAGAGTCTGACCTACTGTGTTGGAGAGTCACAGGCTGTCACCTTTGGCTTACTTTTGCTCAGCTGCTGACCCTAATGAGACCTGGGAAACCTGCGTCATAGTACCCCTAAAATGCCATCACATTATTGAAATGTAATTGTGATGAGATTGATTAACTCACTTCTTCCCCTTCACAATCATGTTATAATAATTGTTGCACCCTTTTGAGAATAACAACTTGATTGGTGACAAAACACAGTGGTGTGATGCACCAATCTGTCAAACATGTTCACTCAGCAGTGTCATAGGTTGACAGATGACAAACAAGCTAATGTATCACAGCTTGTACTCACACCTGTCAGTCATGTTTAGGCAGCACAGATGGAAAGTAAGAAATTTACTGATTATACTGACTTTTAATGTGCTTGAGTATTTGTAGTTTTGCCTTTTACACTGGTGTTAGGTTTTCAAAGTACGTTAAGTACTATAATTTATAATGCAGAAAAAATTCAAACTTACCAACAGTATAGAACAATGTCTTGCCACGTAAATTAAGAAATGAGTTATTGCCTGTAACATTTACTCTTTATCTTTGTACCCAATGTGTGGAGCCATTTCCACACTAATCACATATAAATCTAAAAGTGAGTAAAAACAAGCTATCTGCACATCCATGATGCAAATCTCCCATTCCACCACATCTCAAAGGTGCACTATTGGATTGAGATCTGTTGACTGTGGAGGCCACTGGAGTACAGTGAACTCATTGTCATGTTCAGTAAACCAGTTTGAGATTATTTGAGCTTTGTGACATCGTGCATTATCCTGCTGGAAGTAGCCATCAGAAGATGGATACACTGTGGTCAGAAAGTGATGGACATGGTCAGCAACAATACTCAGGAAGGCTGTCGCGTTTAAACGATGCTCAGTTGGTAAATATGGGGCCCAACGTGTGTCAAGAAAATATCCCCACACCATTACAACACCACCACCTCAGTTTCCTGTTCTTAGCTGACAGGAGTGGCCCCTGATTTGGTCTTCTGCTGCTGTAACCCATCTCTTCAATGTTCGATGTGTTGTGCATTCAGAGATGGTATTCTGCATACCTCGTTGTAACAAGTGGTTATTTGACTCACTGATGCCTTGATCTTGAACCAGTCTGCCCATTCTCCTCTGGCCTCTGACATCAACAAGGCAGTTTCTTCCACACAACTGCCGCTCACTGGATATTTTCTCTTTTTCGGACCATGCTCTGTAAACCCTAGAGGACGTTAAGGACCCATAAACTGACACAAATTAGACCACGGACCCCCATTTGATAAGATGTTGTCCCCCATATGATAGGATATTTGCTTTTAGATTTTTTATGAAACCCATGACAAAAATAATCATCCATTCTGTCAGTGTTTTATTTACATATACTAAGATAGTCCCCTTTTTGCTGGGGAGCCCCCTCAAAGACCCCTGGGGGGTCCCTGGACACTACTTTGAGAATAACTGTTCTACAGCATACATAGCAAGTTAAATGTGTTAATGTGTTTCTATTTTTAAATATCTGCACATTTGCTTTTGTAATTGAGCTCTTAAAATAAGGAGCCATTGGCTTTGTAGGTAAGAGAAAAACATTCAAAAGCTCTCTTTCATTCATTCATTCACTTGTTCATTCTTGACCTTTAAAAAAGCAGTTTCTCAAAACTTACTTTGAGACGAATGTTTTTGTACAAGGTTCTTGACAAATAAACGTAATAAAATAAATAAACACTATGACATGCTTTTGAAAATGATTGGAAGCTAAAAAAAATGTATCCTATGTAATTTGTGGGGGGAAAACAAGATAAAACATGCAGGAAAAAAATGTTATGGTTCTTTAAAGTTTTGACATAGTTGAGCAGCGCTCTCGCCCATTGGTTGGCCTCTATCACGTCAGTTGACCAATCAGCGTCGTCGATGTTACAGGGTGTCATTACGTAGGGAGGCGTGTGTGACATTTGCTGCAAGGAGCTAGTTTATGAACAACTAGCCGGATGAAGATGAAGAACTAGTGCAGGAAATCGAAAATATTTTGCCTTTTAACAACTCAACTGACGTTTGTGTTACACTTTGTGATCGTGCGCACATTAGAGGAGACAGTTTGCATTAAACGTAGCGTTAGGTAAAACTTCCTGTTTGGGTGAACACGTTAAATATTAGGCTAACGCTTTCTCTAAACTTATAACGTTACAGTAAATGTTCGGAGTTCGGGTTGAGGCGGTGTTCTGGTTTGTTGTCGTGAGAACTGAAGTTAATGTCGTTTTTTTTGTATTGCAGTATGGTTGGACGTTAGCGCTTATGCTGGTTTGCACACAAGGTTAAAATTAGCTTTAGCCAGCTAGCCATCCCCCTCTTGCTGCAGCTTCTCACTTTGTTATGCTGACTTGTCATGCCAGGTGTGCTGGAAGTAGGCCAGGTGTGGTTTGGCATAGATAGGGTTCAGTGTGTGTAACGTGATAAAACGTGCTCAGAGTGTAGGACTAACTCCAGCCAGTCTGCTTCAGGGATTTTTGTTACTTCTGTGGAGCAAGAGTTGGGATCATGCTGCTCTCCTTGGTTGTGCACACATACTCGCTGCGGTATTGGTTCCCAGCCACGATCATGCTGGGTACAGCCCCAGCTTATTTGCTATCATGGGGGGCTTGGCGCTTGCTTTCAACTGTCTTACCAGCGAGAATGTATCACAAGTTGGACGACCAGTTGTATTGCATCTACCAGAGTATGGTGCTCTTCTTCTTTGAAAACTACACAGGAGTTGAGGTGAGTGATCCTTTACTTACTGCGTGTAAATTTACAGTTAATCTTATTGTTAAAGACAAACCCGGGGTTGATTGAGTGTAGCCGCTGTGTTTATAAAGGATGGGGTAGTAAACACAATGAAATACAGTGACACAGTCATAAGTGACAGCTGCCTTTTACTGTCTGTGACTGCAGGCTTGGATCTTGCAGTTAATATTACATGTACACCTCCTTCAGATCAGTGCATTTCTGCAGGTTTCTGTATTTGATGAAATCAGAATGTAAGGTGGCGCCAGACACAGAGGCTGATAAGCACGTTCTTGATGAACCAGATGCACGAAGGCAAGAAAGTCTGCATTCTTTTGCCCTTTTAGTGACACTCCTTGTACAGTTGGTATTTGTGTATGTTAGGGTGTGTAGAAAAGCAACAGTGATAGCGCCGAAGCTGGTAAACCGTCATTTGTGTAATAAACGTCCCACGAACCAGAGGCCACATGAGTAGATTGGATGAGAGCGTTTTAATAATAAATCCTCTTGGGTTTATTGAAAAGCAGCAGCCTACGCTGGTTCAGTTTTTGTGAAAGTGGGCAAAAACTGGAACCAAATCCCTGATGCAGTTTAAATATTTAACACAACTAAATACGCTAAATCTTTATCTGAATGTAGAATCATTTTGCAAACTCATGACTGTCAGGACCATTTTGCTGGAGTCTGTAATATCTTTAACCTGCTTTCTCTGTAGATTGTTATATATGGAGATATACCAAAGAACAAAGAGAATGTGATCTACCTGTCTAATCACCAATGTACAGGTAACACATTTGCATATACTGCTTTACAATGTCAGTCAAGTGTGAAGCACAGATTGAAGTAAAAGTCTAATCTCTACCAATGGCTTTACCTGCAGCTGACTGGATCATTGCTGACATGCTTGCCATCAGGCAGAGTGCTCTTGGTCATGTCAGATACGTCCTTAAAGATGGACTCAAGTGGCTGCCACTATACGGATGGTATTTCTCTCAGGTAATGCAACTCTGTGAGTATTTGAATGTCATTTTGTAAATAACAGATGTAAAGCTGTAAATTAAACTTCAGTAACATTCCCCCGCTGCTGTTCTCATCAGATTATCTTTCTCTTTTAGCACGGAGGGGTCTATGTGAAACGAAGTGCAAGGTTTAATGAGACGGCTATGAAGAAGAAGCTCCTCACTCAGACTCAATCTGGAGCACCAGTGAGTGCACTTTATAAATGTCTAAATTAGCCCCTAGAATAGTCAAGCGTGCATATTTACTCTATAAGGTGGACATAATGTCTGCTGTCTCATCTCCCTCCAAAGACAAACGTTTTCAATAGGGGACCAAAAACTTCTAAGACAAATCATATCTTCAAATTGGGCCTTATTTTAATTTTTCTGTTGGACTATTACAAGCTTGTTTTTAAACCTCCACCACTTAAATTCACAGCAGAGCTTTCTGCAATAATCTTCCTTCTTACCCAACTTGTAATTAGGATATTAACATGAATAGTTTCTCAGAGGTTGTAGTAAAAGAACATCTAATGACGCCAGCACCGATAAAATGAAAAATCAGACATTGCCCAAGGGTCAATTGCAGTGTGAGTTATTGTGCTGAAAGGGCTTGTTTTTAATCACTTTTTGGGGGGGGATTTAGATTTGGGGGATTAGAGAGAGAGTGTGTGTGTGTGTGTGTGTGTGTGTGTGTCCGTGTCCTGGTGACCTGAAGGTACACTATGAAAGCTCTGTTGT